TTGCAGAGCAGCACCTTTACCTTTCATCACCATTAAATAAAGTCTGCGTTCTAGGCATTGCATCCGCCGCGGAGGTGTACAACAACATAACATGTCGCTGCCTTACGCAATATTTGGTGCCTTTCGTGAGAATTAGCGATGCTCACCACCCCCCCCCCCCCCCCCCATGTTATTATTCCGTGCAGGTTTAACGGAAAGCTGCAAAATCAATCAGCGACGAGCGGCTAAGGGACTGACAAGGTGTGAGAGGAGCGAGACGCCCATGCGCGCGCGTGTGTGGTGTGTGTGTGTGCGCTGTCCGGCAAAAACAACCCCCTACCTCCTCGTGGGTGCCGGATGTCAACGCTGTGGTGAGAATGCCGTGGGGGGGAGGGCCAATTTAGATTGGCCATTCCCCTCATGGCGTTTGCAACCACCACAGCGGCCAAATTGGGGCTCTGGATGGGTGCGAGGGGCTGGTAACCCATCCACCTTCAATTAATTACCACAAAACCACGTCTAAAATATCTAATTATTAAGCTTGTGCCGGACGCCCTGGGGGGCAGGCGTCTATCACGTCTCCTTGCCAAACCCCATTTGGAGACTCAATCCTTACCCTCGGGGCTCCTCCAGAAACAACAAAAAACCACTGCGGGTGGCCACGTGGAATGTTCGAACGCTCACTGCGCAGGAGAGGCTGCCACACCTCTGTCGGGAGCTGGATCGGTACCGCCTAGGTATTCAGGAGGTCTGGTGGACCGGCTGCCACCATGAGAGGTGGACAGTCCTCTACTCGGGGCTGGAGACAGCCAAACAACAGGGTGTGGCTCTTCTTCTCAACAAAAGAATGAAGGGGGCATGGGAGAGTGGCGGTGAGGTGTGGGAAGCTGTAAGCCCCAGGCTACTTTGGGCTCGCCTTCCAATCAACCAAAGATGAGGAGTGGTGGTCGAAGTTACTTATGCCCCCACCGAAGACGAACATCTGTGGAGGGATGCAGGCACGGCCGATGAGTCAGATGCCTTCTATGATCTACTGCACAGGTGCTAGCTAAAGTGGCCCCTCGGGATCGTGTCATCTTGGTGGGCGACTTCAATGCCCGACTTGGTCATGATGCTGGCACCTGGTCTGGAATGATTGGCAGGCATGGGCCAGATCAGCTCAATAACAACGGTAGGAGGCTGCTAGATTTTTGTGCAGCCCATGGGCTTGTAATTACCAACATGCTTTTCCGGCATCGGTGCATCCACACAACATCATGGATATATCCCGGGTCCAAGCAAGAACATCGGCTGCACTACATAGTGATGGAACAGCGGATGCGGGCCCATGTCCTTGACACCAGGACCTACCGTGGAGCTGATCTGCCCACTGACCATCGACTTGTCATCTGTAAGATGCGCCTGCCATTCTTCCACTCCGGTGGTGGGTGTACACCCAGGACCACATTCAAACCCAAAGTGGCATGGTCTAAGTTAGCTGATGAAAGTTGCAAGCGAGAATTTCATCATCGCTTGCGGCTGGGGTTGACATCGTCCCCCACTCCTCCAGATGTCGAGGGAAAATGGGCGACGTTTAGGACTGTGGCTCATGCAGCTGCAATGCCTGCTTTGGGTACATGGTCCAGACCTCCCCAGAGACCCTGGCTGACAGCAGAAGTGTTAAGGCTGGCTGAGTGACAGGCCCACTCTCATCGTCTACAGCATCCCACATCAGAGAATGAGGAGGCTTACCACAGCCTTCGCTCAGAGGTTCGGAGAGCCGTGAGGCGCTGCAAAAATGGGTGGTGATCGCGGGTTGCTGAGGAGATGGAGACTGCCTCAATGGCCCGCAATCACAAATCACTATTTAACTCCATCAAAAAAGTAACCTAAAGCGCCACACCTATTACCATCATTATGGGAAAGAACGGTGGTCCAATCTCCGACCCTGAGGAACAGGTTTGCAGATTTGCTGAGCATTATTGTGAGGTCCTAGGGGAGGGGAAATCCCTCAGCTTTGAAAACATCATGGGACAAAGTGGGGATGACCCTGCTGAGGCTGCGGTGTCTCAAATATTGGAAGAAGTCACCCCCTGTGAGTGGCTGGCTGAGGTGCTATCTGATGATGAAGTATTGAAGGCGATCCAGAGTCAGAGACCAGGAAAGGCACCGGGCACAGATGATCTCCCAAGCAAAATGCTGAGGGAGGGTGGCGTTTGTGCACAGACTGCCCTACATGACATCATAACAACAGTATGGACCACTGGACGGGTTCCGCAGGATTGGAAGGATGCCTTGGTGGTCCCCCTCTTTAAGAAGGGGGACCGCACAGACTGTAACAACTACAAGGGCATCTCACTCCTGAGTGTGCCGGGAAAGGTCCTGGCAAGGATTATGTAACATCGCCTTGCCAGGCACACTGAGGAGAGGCTTGCCAAGCCCCAATGCGGTTTCACCAAAGGGCAGTCCTGCACAGATGCCATATTTTCTGTCCATATGCTACAGCAGAGGTGTTGGGAATTCCAACAAACCTACATCTCTGCTTTATTGACCTGGTCAAGGACTATGATACAACCAGAAGGCCTGGGCTCTGGGTTATTCTTCGTGCTTTCAGAGTCCCTGACCCTCTGCTCACGATCATTAAGGACCTTCATGATGGTGAGCGGGCCCAGGTAAAACTACGTGGCTGGGAGTCGGAGCCATTCCCTGTTCACCTTGGGGTATGGCAGGGATGTCCTCTGGCTCCCACATTATTGAATATATTTTTCGACCACGTAGTTTATGAAGTCTTCGATGGCTGTACCAGAGGAATTTCCATCTGGTACAGATACATTGCGAGGCTGATCGATGCCCGGGTGCAGTCAAGGGATGGCTCCCTATTGGTCAACCACGTTATGTTTGTCGATGATCTGGTAATTGGTGCTCACTCAGAGGAGGAGTTGGAGGTGCTGCTGCTGAACCTGGAGCTGGGTACTAAGAGGTGGGGCCTTACCATCAGCCCCATCAAAACTAAACACCTGCCCGGGTATTTTGTACCATCGGACACTCCACCCCCACAACTCCCAATTGGTGATGGGGCAGTTGTGGATAGAGTTTCCCACGTGTGCAGTGTGCTCATGACCGGCTCCGGTTTGACCGCAGAGGTCTCACTCCGAATCAGTCGAGTGGCATTATCTTTTAATCGGTTTTGTAACTCTGTGTGGAAGCTACCTGGTCTGTCGCTTCGCACGAAGATTCAGGTCTTCTCGGCCACGGTCATTCCCTCCCTTCTCTACGCTTGCAAAACGTGGACCCTCCTCATGGAACATTTTTGCCGGTTAGAAACATTTAGGCTAGCCTGTCTACGATCCATCCTGGGTTTAACTAGGTTGGATTGTGTGAGGAGCTTTAAAATCTTTGAAAGATCTGGACAAAGTCCCATCAGTGAGTTACTCCGGCAGGCAAAGCTGCGTTGGCTGGGTCATGTAGTCTGCATGCCCAGCCACCGCATGCCTAAATAGATTTTGTTCGGCCGGATAGAGGGGGATAAATGGGCGCGGCACGGGCTAGAGAAGAGATGGAGTGATGTGGGATAAGAGGATGTGGAGCTGAGTGGACTTGCCGATGACTGGTACCAGCGGTGTCAAGATCGGCCTCTGTGGAGGAGGCTCGTGAAGGACGCTACTAGGCAGTTGGAGGCAATCGCCCTCCAACAACAACGGAGGGTGGAGGAGCGACGCTCACAACAACGAGCGGAGCGCCGGGTGGCTAAAGCACAGCAAGTTGGCACAGTAGGGGGCACAGGTGGTGCATCGGCCAGTCGTCTCAGTCAGTCAACCTGTGGCACCTGCATTGTCTGCCCCATGGCCTCCTGCCAGCGGGCGTTCGACACTTCATGTGGCCTCAACGTGCACCTAGCCTAGCACAAGCGTCGTGGTGATGTCACCGCCACTTAGTGGCGAATGGCGCTTGTTGTTATTGTTGTTATTGTTGCCTGTGCAAAATGTGTGTGCAAGCGAACGAGAGCGAGAGAGAGAGAGAGAGCGGACTGGCGGGCAGGCAGGCGGCTGTGCAGCGGAGAGCGAGAAGCCGAGCAAACCAAGCGAAAGCGTAGGTCCCCAAGTGGCGCAAGGGGCCCCCCGGATTCAATAAAACAAAACAAAATTGAGGGTGCGTTGAGTTTCATGGTCAAGTCTAATATGAAATAAGAATTACACCAAGTGATCTCTCTCATCTCATGTCTATCTTGTCTGTATGTCTCGTCCCTCCTCTCACGACGCTTCTGTCTCTTGTTTGACATCACTGTCTTTTCATCTGCCATCTTCTCTTCTCTATTTAAACGATTTTATTTTAACTACTATTTTTATTTCAACACGGTAAGGCCCACTGAGATGTGCAACTCTGTTTCAGAGGCGACCTGGCTACAAATGATAGCTCTACTAAGTGGCTTATCACGTGGAGATTTACAGCAGCCAAATGTTCTCAACGCACGTTGCTTCTAAATGTGGAGGGGAAAACCGGAGGATCCGGAGAAAAATCCACGCGACCGCGGGGAAAACATGAAAACTCGAAATATACAGGTGTCAGGGTTGTGATTGAACCCACGACCTCCTGAATACCAGGCGAGGGAGTCAACATTTCCCCGCCGCGGTGGCTCTAATCTCACTACGCCTCTACTTCCGTTCACATTTCCCCCTTCTCGCCAATCTCCGTCGATTGACTTTACACTGTCTGCCATCTCACTAGGAATTTACAAATTGAATGAGGGGCACCACCCCCACTAAATTAGAGCGCCCTCCCCCCAGCCTCCCTGTCCCCCCTGCCGCTCCTGTCCCCCTTCCCCCCGCCAATAGGGCAGCACCACCACTGGACAAACCGTGCGAAAGGTGAGCGTGCAAGAACACCCCTGCAAAGACGTTGATTGTGATGGGGGGTGGGGGAAATGAGCCGAACGGCACGCAAACGTGCGTGTTCTTGCATCGGCGCTCGTGTGTGTCTGTGTGTGCGCTCACGCGTGTGCGAGCGCGCGTGTGTGTGTGTGTGCTCGTATGTGCATCTCCTACCCTCCGCTTCCTTCGGGCTCCAGTGTCCTGAGGGGTCGCAGGCGCGGGGCGACGAGGCGGAGTGGGCGAACTGCGTGAGCCGCCCATCCTCTCCGCACAGGTCGCACGCAGATCCCACTTCTCTAGGAGAGGATCAACGGTCGAAAAACACTGCTTAGACGTTCCGTCTGCAACGCGCCGACATGGACTTAAACGGCGCCGCAGGGCGCTCGCCTCACTTAGCTCCGTGGCACGCCGACGACAATGTTCCCCGGCGGTTAAGTGGGCTTTCATAATGGAGAGCTCGGCGCCTCTCTCTCTCTCTCGCTCCCCAATCCGCGCGCACACACACACACAAAAACGCCACTTCTCACGGAACGGAACGCGGGCGGCGACCGCTGCGGGGATTGTTCGCGAAACAATGGGGCAACGAAGCCCCCCGCAGCTCGATTGCGTGACCACTTGACTCGAGCAGAGAGCGGCCCGCCGAGGCCGAGGATACGGAGCGGTGCCCCTGCGCGCGGACCGGGAGGGAGGAACACCGCACCTATGATCTCCGTTACGTTTTGACGGCCGTCCAACGCTAGTTCCCAACTGAACGCCAAATTTTAGTTTTGTTTTCATGAACGGGGGGCGGGGGGGGGGTTCCTATCCAAGAACTCCTTCGAATCGCACGGCTGCCCCGTGCCTCCGTACTTTTTCCCAGTACCTCCGACGAGCTACGGTTGGCTGCATACGGCGCGAAAGAAGTTCAACGAACGTGCGCGCACTGGCATTAGCTTTCAGGTACGTTGAAGCTTTGCTTCAAAGCAAGGCAGCAGGAGCTAGAAACTTTTCAAAGGGGATGTGGAGGGGCCGGTGGGGAGGGGGTGGTGGAGATGCGGGGGGGGAGGGGTCCCAAAATGTTCAGATTTCTTTTTTAAATCGGGCCCTACATTCATAGTAAAAAATATTAAAACATTCAACGTATTTTTTTATTAATATCAATAAAACACAAATTTTCCGAGCCTCAAGGGGGAGGTGGGGGGGGGACGATTGCACCCATTTCCCAACCCTTGGATTCGCCATGAGTTCAAGCTCACGTCGGTTTGTTTCTGTCAGCGGACCTGAAATGTCTCCAGTGGTAGCACTGCTAAATGAAAACTATCGTAGTAAATAAGAGTACGAATACATCAGCGGCTTACACACTGCTGTATAAAACTAAATCGTAATTTCTTAACGCATGTCGGTCCACTGCTTGATGAAGGACTCCCCAACGTCCGATGAGCCACGGGGAGATCTTTGACCAAATTTACTCTGGCTCGTGTAAATTGTATCTGCGTACGTGTTTACGTTTAACGTCTGTCGCACCGTACGTTGCCAACCGCGCTAATTGGAGGTGGGGGGGGGAAGGACAACAAACTCAACACTAAAATGAGTTCTTAATCTACATGTATAAGTGCAGTAGCTCCAGTGGCTTCCTAATATCGGAACGAAGAGCGTTCCAGACGGCCGCAGAAGCGCATCTGAAAGTGTGCGACGCTGGTGACCGTCTTTGTTCGATGGCTAGTCCAGAAGCCACCCCTGCGAACATGACTGGGAGTTCGCGTGATGGTTGATGCTCCCTGACGAGATTAAGCAAGCTATTGTGGTTCATTTGTGGCGAGCACTTTGTGTGCAACGAGAGTATTCGTTTGGCAACCGAATTGGTGAAGTTGGAGGGAGGTGGAGGAGGGGGGGGGGTGGTGGATCCAGATACTACTCACCCCACTGATATTCGTTTTGGCCAGGAATCGAACTCGGGTCGCCGGATTCATAGCACAGCACACAAACCACTGGGAGAACGCTCCTCCAACACTGCATGAATAATGATACAGGCAGTGTGTGTGTGTGTGGATTTGCTTGCGCTAACAATTGCATCAGAAAGTCTCCACGTGTGCGAGAGAAAGCGAACGCGAGCGCGCGCCGTGCGTGTCAGCGTGCGTGTCAGCGCGTGTGTGTGTGTGCGTGTGCACGACTGCGTTCAATCCAGCGAGGGAGCAAAACCGAACTTGATGCCACATAAATCACACAAATTTTCATTAAAAAGTTTGGAATACCCTGCAAAGTGCCAAGAGGCACTTGCCACCACGCGCACGCGTGACCCCCCCGCAACGCATCCACAAGTGGGATTTAAAGCTGTCACTGCTCTTTTTCCCCGACTCCCATTATCCGGCCACAAATCAGCAGTCCTCTGGCACTACACAAGCGCCCCCTACCACTCCCCCCCCCCCCCCCCCGCTTTCCCGGTTGAACCATTGAACCATTTTCCCCTCGCGCTTTGGCGGCGAGTGGGAAAGACGCCGGCCGTTTTTGGAAGTCACCTGATGGCGAGCGGCACCCTCCACCCATCCCCTCCCTGCTTGCCCCCCCCCCCCGTCTACCTCCCCGTGCCCCCCCCTTCTCCCCCCAACTCCCCCCGCTAGCCCCAACCGAAACAGAACAACTGCATCTGTCGGCGGCGGCGTTATGCGTTGCCTGTTGTGAATGTGGCGTTGCGTGGCGAGGACGGGCAATCGGTTGTGTCGCCGCTAGGCACGAGCAAAGCGGGCAAAGGCATAGGGCATCAAGCAGCTCAAGGGCTCTCTGGGATTCATTACAACAACAAAGACGCAGGGAGGCACCAAATGTATTGGGTCAAATTCAGATGCAACTCATCTCTCATTCCAGTACACCTGTATCTTCCTGGTCCACATGTCTCTCATCTCACGACATCTCTCCCTCTCTATCTCGTCGGCATCTCTCTCATTCCGCTGCCCTCATCTCTTCGCTGTGTCCCCTCTTGTCCCATCTCATTACACCTCCTCTACGTTTTGTGCGCATCTCTCTCGTCTCGCCGCATCCAAGCTATCTCTTGTCTGCATCTACTTCTGCCATCTCTAGCTCAGGCATATGAATGGAAAGGGGAAGGAGAGAGCTGGGGCTGGGGGGGGGGGGGGGGCGCGGAGGTGGGGGGGGGGGTACGGGGGGGATAAGGGGGGGGGGGGTTGCAGGCCCCCTCCACCGGGCACGGCGCGTGACCGCGAGCGTGCAGGGAACACCTCTGGAAGACGTGGCCGTTGATGGGGGGCATCCACTGCAGGATGAGCGAGCCCTCATCGTGGGCGGCGGGGGTCGGCGGCATCGGCACGGGGAGGGGAGCGCGGTCCAGCCGCCAGCCCTCGTACACCAGGTCCAGGTAGCAGTGCATGCGTGCCACCTGGTTCGGCGTGAAAGAGTTGGTGCAGCCATCGTCTGGAATTTCAAAGCGGGTCGGTGGGTGGGTGGGGTGGGGGGGAAGTGATGACAATGGGAGATGACAACAGGGGCGTTTGGACGAGGTGTGGGATGGAGTGGAGAGGGACGAGGTGGTGGTGGCGAGCGGAGGGATTGATGGGAATGAAGGCGGAGGGCGGGGGGAGAGGGTAGAGACATCATTGTTGCACTCACAACGCAGGTATTTTTGCGCGTGACATCTGGGGAAATGTAAGGTCATTCATTTATACGTACCTTGCGTTTGTTTGTTCTTCTCTACAATAAATCGTAACACGAAATGTAACGTGGCTGGGGGCTCCTCACGTCGGTGTACATAGTTATACCATTTTTAAAATGAAATATCGATGCAATAACGCACGGATGGAATTGCGTGCATATGGCCACAAATGCATGCAACGCTGCGTTATCCCGTACGAAATTCGAGCACAGTCCGTTTTAAGTAATCTTACGTAGCCTGCATATTGCGTAACAACAAAAGGAAAGAGCCTTTGTTTACGCGGTCCATAATCAATCATTCGCGTTTATTCGACCGTCTGTACTGTTTACCCACCGCACCGAGGACAGCGGCCCCGATGTTGTCTCCGTTTACAGACGCTCCAAAAAGAATAAAAGTGGTGCGATTATCGAACGCCCCCAGACGCGCGCGCGCGCGCGCGCGTCTGGGGGCCGCTTTGATAGGCGAAATTAAAACCGTTCGTCTGCAGGGCCGGTCCGCTTGCAAAGATCACCGTCACAACAAAGCCGAGTCCCAGACATGACGTAATGGGATTCATAGCGAAACGCTACGGCAACCCACCCTACCTCCCCCCCCCCCCCAGGAACACCACCCCCCTCCCCCCGTGCGATATCATGATCGGCCGTCTGTAGCGAGACAGCTACTGGATAGGGCTCCGACGGCGAGGGAGCTGATAACCCATTTCTCTGCCTCTTCGCTCAAAACCGCGGAGAGGCTGCGGAATTGTCCGCGTGCGAGGCCCATTTTTTTTTGTCGCACCTTTTAACAATTTTCAAATCGACGGTTCCGCGACGTTGAGAAATTCAGATTGGGTATTTTGATTATTCTTTGGTTCTTTCGGTAAAGTCACGTATAAAAAAATAATAATAAATTAAATAATAACATACGACGTTTCGATTGCAACACAAGCAATCATCATCAGGTATAATAAAATAGCGACATAAAATCTAACCAGAAAAATTTATAGACAGACATATAAGCAGACAGATATCACCAAGATACACACAGCGGGCAACACAGGTACAGGGAGGGGTGATCGTCTCTGTGGGGTGGCCTTAAATAGACAGAGGGGGGCGGAGGGAGCGAGAGGGAGGGGTTAGAGACAAAATTTACATGTCAATGAGTGCAACAAAAAGGAGTGAGCAGGCTTAGGGGGAGAAAGAGACACACTAAAATTAAATAACCTAGCAAAGTATCGAAATGTTATGTAAAACGACACAGAAAGTCGGTCAACACACAATTAACGCATAGCCTGGTCGATTACGTATTTCAAACATTGCTAAGTTAGAATTTAAGTGTGAAATTTTCAAAGAAAGACAAAACATAAAAACAAGAGGAACGGAGACAAAGCAGAACCTAAGAACGACAAAAAACGAGTGTAGACAGAAAAAATTACACTAAATAAACAGGCAGAGAGAGAGAATAAAAACCCAGAGAGAGAGAAAAAAGGTAAACTTGGAACTTCCCCGTAGAAGTGGTTCAATCTTAACTTTGGAGCTTTCGTGACTGCAGGGATTATTCTTTGGTTCTTTCGGTAAAGTCACGTTTTTTTTTTTATACGTGACTTTACCGAAAGAACCAAAGAATAATTCCTGCAGTCACGAAAGCTCCAAAGTTAAGATTGTATTTTGATTATTTTTCTTCTAAAAAAAAATGACAAAAAAATGCGCGATACGTTAAAACACGTAGATTGCTTAGCGCCGGGGTGAAATAACACGGCGCGGCTAAGGATGGGGACTCTGCAACAAACCGGTTAACAAGAAAGAGTGGTTGGGGGAGGGGGGGTTGGGCCGGCAGTTTTTTTGTGACCGCTGTGAGGAGGATTCCTTTGCGGAACTGAAAGAATGTGACCGTGGGTGGCCCGTGCCGCTCTTCGAGCAAAAAAAAGGCAACATCGCTACTTGCTCTCCCGAGTCACGAAAGGCACAAGAGACCCCGAAGGAGCCAATGTGCGTGGCATCGGAAATCGTGGCGATGTTATGCAATCGATGATAGGACACTCCTCTTCTTGGTTCTTTCGGTAAAGTCACGTAGTCTGTCTTTCCGACAGCGTCTGTCTTTCCGACAGCCCTGTTCTTCACCTGAGGACGGCTGCTTGCGTTGTGGCCGAAAGAACCAAGAAGATGAATCCCTGCAGTCACGAAAGCTTTAAATCGAGATAGGACACTCGGTTTTTTTTGCCTAAAATGTCCAAATAGCAAATTCCGCGTAAAATGAAGATTTTTTTTTATTGACCATCCCCAATAGTGCACGGGCATGTTTATGACGAAATTACTCTCAATAAATGCAAGCAGGTGGTCGGGGAGGCAACACTTTGTTTAATGGAATAGAAAAGCAATAAATAAAGCCTTGAAGCAGTACTTGAAAATTACCCAATATTTTACTGCTCAAAGCAAAAGGGGGTTCATAAAACTACAACAATGAAAGTTTTTTTGGTGTGTGTGTGTGTTCGTGATTGTACGTAACGTATGTTTTACAGGTCAGCGCGTGATCTTTGTGATTAGCCGTTATTAAATGGGGCTGTTTGACTGCTCGCAGGGACTAATGCGCCGGCATCAGCGTCGAGCTGGACTGATGAAAGAGCGTGAGTTATGGTTTGAGTTAAAAATGCATTCATCATCCACTTCACTGCTGCTCAGGAATGTACACAGCTGAATAAAAAAAATTACAGCGACATGACATACACCCCCCCCCCCATCCAAGGTATATATATACACACACACAGCATGAAAGCGACGAGATACGTATACACAAACAGAAAACACATTTGACAAACGCATGCGGCATCTAAGAGGCGAGAGATACCTCGACAACAACTGGCACTAGCTCAACACGATTCACAATGCGTCTACAAATACAATTTGTTTTTGGAAGAAAAAGCGGGTCTTTGGCAGGACATGTTGACGGAAGGGATGGGAAGGGATGATGACCGGTGGGGTGGTCGAGGCGACCAATGGATCGAATCGGCAGCCAAAGGACAGAACATACCAGATAATGCATCCATCCATCTCGGAGATCGGAGCTATGAAATCAGCTTGCATGCAAGAGCTGGACGGATTGTTATGTTGCAGGACCTATTAGAGGATGGTTACACGTTAACTACCTCGCCTGGTACACAGGAGGGCGTGGGTTCAATCCCAACCCTGACGGCCCCCTGTATATTGTCATGTTCTCCCTGTGGTCCGCGCGGATTTTTCTCCGGGTCCCCCGGTGTTTTTCCCTCCACATTTTAGAAACACGCATTTCGAGTATTTCGCTGCTATAAATGTCAACGTGATAAGCCACTTTGTTGAGCTATCACTTGTGGCCAGGTCGCTTCTGAAAAAGAGATTTCTAAAAAAGGTTTTTGCTCAATTTAGATCGTGATGGCATGGGATGCCTTCAATCAGCAGTGGCTGATGATGATGATGAAAGTTTCCAAATAGAAATATGAGCACGTGGCAGGACGCTGCTGCCTTGGCTGTGTGGCAGCAGAGCCAGCGAGTGTCACAGCCAGTGAGGAACGCTTCACTGTATTCCAAAGCTGCGTCATTGTCCTTTTCACATCTGATCACTGTTATTTTTTTTTCCTCCTTCAAACTTTTGACAAAGTCTGCCTTGCACAAAAAAATATACACACACTCTTTCCCAACCAACAGCCAACTAATTACCCTCCTGGCAAGGAACACAGATTACATTTCTTCGTTCATTCATTGTCACGGACTTTTAAAACAAGACTGTTGTGGTATTTCACTCTGTGGTAGTACAAACAAACGCTGACACAAACCTGCTGAGACTGTGCCACGATTATAAATTGTACATATCTACCGATCGCAAAGTGGTGCTCATTTGGCGGAGCGGAGTCATGGAAGGTTCGCGCAATGTGCCACGAACCGAAGTGACTTGAGTTTGATTCCCAGCCGTGGGCAGCATCAGCGGCATGCGAGATATCTGGGCCGGTCCTGGAACAACCCTTGGCATTCAATCAACCTCCCCCCCCCCCACCAACATCGCATAAGAGAGACCTTCATCCAACAGTGGACTGAAAAAAAAAGATTGTAATTTATTGATGTTATTAAATACGAATCTATTGTTGCGTATGGCATCACGCTTAGGAGCTGAGTGTCACGAGAGGGCTTCGAGAAAGAGTTTGCGTCGTTTTGATGTCCCTCCTCAGCTGAAGGAGGGGCAGACTACGGTGGTTTACTACGCAGTCCATCGTTTGGCTCGAATGTTCCACAATGTGTAACACCGCTTCGAACGAACTCTCGCGCTCCCAGCGCTGCTAGAATATTCCTCCTCCTTCCATCTCTCCAGCGGCGCCAAAACCTCATTGTCCGTCCCATGAAGATCAATCAGAAATGCAAGATGCCCTTCCCCCCTGCCGCCCCCACCCACCTCCTAATCCTTACCACCAGGTAACAGACTGTTTGGTAACCACCAAAATATGCAACATCAAGAAGTCCACCACGAGCGTTGAATTCCCGCCCACTCTCCCCAACCCTCGAAATTAAATTTCGGTGGTGCCATCGGCATCGCGAGATGTAAAAAAAACATTTCTAATTCTGCAGCTCGTGGCGCATCACCCTGTGCCGGGGAGGTGTGGTGCCATTTTCTTCTTTCCCGCAATTGATTTTTCTAGAATAATTATTTCATTTTAATATCGCTGTTTTTGATGTTTCCCACGCAAACACCATCCGCGTGACAATTTGTTGGCATCCGGTTCGTGGTGTAACGATGCGTACGTTACATCGGTGAACATTTG